GGAGTTGAAGTCCACCAGGCTTAAAGTTGCCACGGTTGGAGACCTCTTCCCTAGAGAGTTTGTGGCTGACTGTTTGGGGGCATCCCATTCTGGCAGGGGATGGCGACTCTTCTGAGGGGACACCCCTTGCTAAGCCGATCCCCGAGGAACAGAGGAAGGTCCCTGTCTCCCTCCTTCGCCCCAGGCCACCGAAGGCAACGCTTGCCCCTTTGCCTTCCTTTCAGGGCTGTGGGGAGCATTGGGAAGGGGCTGCCAGCATCTCAAAGCCTCCGCGCCCCAGTGGGTGGGGATGCCTCACCTCTGCAGACCTTCTCCAGCCACCTGCAGATGGTTGTGCACGATCGGAGAAGATGGGGTGGCTGTGTGTTCACCCACGGGTGGCCGGGTTTGTGCACAGTTAGCCCCAATTGATTTGCCCAGATTAAAGACAACCAAGTGCAGCATTTCTCTGAAGGCAGCTGCCCAACTACCAGACTTTAAGGGGTTACCTTCAATTGAGAAGAGATTAAAAGCACAGAGCTTTTAATTTTAATACTGGAGGACCCTTTCATCACCTATGAAATAGAAATTTTATTGGCTCCCTTATGGAGGCATAAACAAGTAATCCTTGGGTTATGACCATAATGGAGGCTGTCTATTACGGCCATAAGTCATAATGGTCGTAAAATGGGTCAGTCACACAACCGATCCAATTTTATAACCTTTTTGCAGGGGTCATTGAGCGAACCCGGTGGTCATAAGTGCAAATGGCGGCTTCGAATAAAACGTTCAGGGATCTAACGGAACATTTCGGGCAGAGGTCTCAAAACTTGGCCACTTTAAGAGTCGTGGACTTTTAACTCCCAGAAATCTGGGAGTTGAAGTCCACAAGTCTTCCAGTGGCCAAGTTTGGGGACCCCTGTCCTAGGGGAAAGTTGCCACTTACCGGCGGGGCTGGAGGTGAGGCGGGGTCCTGACTGAAGGTGCGACTGGATGGAGCCTTCCTGGCCCTGCAAGTGGACCGAAGGCTGGCTGGTCGGCGTTGGGATCCCGGAGTCCGTGGGAGTCTCTGCCTCTGAGGTGAAGATCTGGGGAGAAACCGCAGGACAACACAACGGCTGTTACGTAGGCAGCTTTCCCGTGGCTGCTTGCGAGACGCAGCACAGTAGAAGAGTAAACAGCAGTGTAGTTTTAGGCAGGCGTAGAAAGTCAAACTGATCCAAAACGTTCAGGAGAAACGCTTTGAATCTTGCAGAGTGACGGCCCCTCTGATGTTCGGTATCCAGGGTTGCGGTTTGTTTGGGCCTGGAGGGTTTTATCAGGGGCTTCCTCCTGCCCCTCAGACTTCCACACAGCGGTTTGTCAAAGGAGAGCGAACCAAAGCGTTTCACTATTCCCCGGCACTTGGAGCAGCTGTCAAATTTATTCTTGCCCAGTTCCCTTTATTTTGAGCATACCCAAAGAAGCCTTTTTTTTGTCCTTCGCCTCCTCCACTAAAGCTCCTCTTATTTGGAGGGTTTATTTTCCTCTCTCTAAAGTCGGGGGCTTCCCAGCTCTGCTCTTCCGTGAGAATTGCCTGCCTCTCCGCTTCCCGAAGGTGTCTTTTTGTCTCTCTCTCTCTCTCCCCCTTCAGATTTTCACTCAGCTTTTGTGTGCGGCTCTGCTCTTGTTTCCTTCTTCCTTCATTTGGTTTAAAGCAGGGGTGTCCAACCCTGGCAACTTTAAGACTTGTGGACTTCAACTCCCAGAATTCCTCAGCCAGCAAAGCTGGGAGTTGAAGTCCACAAGCAAAGCTGGCTGAGGAATTCTGGGAGTTGAAGTCCACAAGTCTTAAAGTTGCCAAGGTTGGACACCCCTGGTTTAGAGGTTATCGGCACTTTTAAAATTCCCTCCTTTTGGAGCAGCTATCCCTCCTGACGTCCTCTTCCCACTTCTCTGTCCTCTTCCCATTTCTCTCTCCTGCTACGTGCCCTATTTATCCCTCTCCTGTTTTGAACGAAGTCCCAATTCCTTAAAGTCCAAGACACACCTGTGCCTGTGCTCAGACTTATTGTTCGTTAAAATCAGGAATCGGCATTAAATGGTCCATTTCCATTAATTTTCCCGCTGTTTCTATTTCCTCAGCTAAACTTCCTATCGCTTTAGCATGCAGTCCAGGACAGCTGAGCCTCTTCGGCCTTCCTGGACTCTTGTCCTGGAGCGAATGGTCAGCAAGAGAAGCCTGGAACGTATTGAAAGGGGCAAGAGAGGGTGGAGCTTCCATCCTTTGGTGCCTCTGCAACTGGCAAAGTGCCAATAGAATTATTCAGAATAGAATATCAGAGTTGAAAGGGACCTTGGAGATCTTCTAGCCCAACCCACTGCTTAGGCAGGAAACCCTACACCACTTCAGACAAGTGGTTATCTAATCTCTTCTTTAAAACTTTCAGTGTTGGAGAATTCACAACTTCTGGAGGCAACTTGTTCCACTATCAGGAAATTTCTTAGTTCTAGGTTGCTTCTCTCCTTGATGAGTTTCCACCCATTGCTTGGCTCCCTCTTTTTTCTTAGCACCTACAATTTGCCGGCCTCGTACTTGGCAGGCAAGCCCCCTCAACTTTTCCCGCTTCTTCATCCAGTTCCTTCCTCTTCTTTGAAGCAGCTGGGTTCTCCCACCCCAGCTTCTGTGGGGAGGAAGGGAGTAGCCCCCGCTTCAAAGAATTACGTTCACATTAACAAATTGACTACGGCCTGAAAAAGATGCGCTGCTTGAATGAATAATCAGGATGAGTTTCGAGAGTTTCGCTTCTACTTGCAGGAGGTCCAAAGGCCGCCTGAGTCCTTTTCAAATTGTGCAGGGACCTTAAAATAACACTCAATCTTTAACAAGCAAATTAAACTTCACAATACCATAAAATCAGTTTTAAAAAAAGGCAATCTTGCCAGCCTTGGCCTTTGATCTTCTAATCTTAAAGACTTCGGAGGAGAAGATCAAAGGCACAGAGCTGGCCATAAAGCTAGGAAAGAGAGAGAGTTCCGAAACCTTTCAAAGGCCGGAGGCTCCTCCTGTCTTCCGTCTAGCAAATATCTCAGCTTTTTATAGCCAGGGAAAACCTGCCCTGGGCAAATTTCCTGGGCTCACACAACCCTTTTAAGCAAGAGCGGGACACCTTTTGTGAACCGAAGGGTGGCTTCCCAAGGAGGCGGGCAGCATATACATTTAATTTAATGAACGCATGAAATGCAACCAGCTCTCCTTGCCAACCAAAGAACTGGAGGATACCTTGCAGGAACAAAGCAACCTTGCCAGATAAAGCAGGGCCAATATTAGGGTTTGGGGCAGGATGTTTCACTTTAAAGCAGAGGCCTCCAAACTTGGCAACTTTAAGAGTTGTGGACTTCAACTCCCAGAATTCTGGGAGTTGAAGTCCACAACTCTTAAAAGTTGCCAAGTTTGGGGACCCCTGCCTTAAAGGGTGGGAAGGAGAGCAGGACCTCTGTGGAGGGGAAATGCTTCCATTCCTGCCTTCATCCCCTAAGAACACCCTCCAGAATGACCCCAAATCCTATTTGAAACTTGGGGTGTAAAATTTAGCAGGAACAAAGAGATTTAGTTTCAGGTTGTGAAACTCACACTTGTGTTTGGCTAGCAGTGTCATCAAATTGTGTTTGCAAACCGCTCCTTTCTTTCAAGAGAGAATATTTGCAGATCAGGGTTGAACTGTCGGGTCTTTGGTGCTCTCTGAGCTTGCCCGCTTCCTTGCAGACATTTCGTTACCCAACTAGGTCATATCATCAGGGCTAGAAGAGAGCGGGGTTTGCTCTCGGTTTACATACTAGTTTCTTGTCCTACCGAAGACACTGTAGGATAACTTCCCCCTGAGAAACTTGCCCCTTGGGCCACGGTTGGGTCTGCTGTGGGTGCAGAAGCAGATCCCATGTGGTTCGCCTGAGCTTGTTCTCTGTTGCTGCTTGGACCACTTGGGGGTTGGCCCCTTGGGCCCCCTTCACCCCCCCCCCCAGTCCCCCCCTCACCTGTTTGGTTGGTGTCAGGCTGGCCAAGGTACTGAGGTTCGCCGTGTCTGTGATCACCATGGTCTGGGGGAGAAGGCTGGTGTGCGCATATTGGGTCGCCTCTGGCTTGTGGCTGTAGAGACCTGGGGACCATGGAAATCAAGAAGGCAGCGTGAGCAACGGAGGCTGGAAGGGGGCAGGGAGGGTGCCCGGCCTGGAGCCTTCCTCGGATGGCCGCCCTCCTGGACCAAACCTACCGTGAGGCGCCTGGATCTGGGCCATGGTGGCCATGAAGGGGCTCTGGTTAAGGTGGCCCTGGACCTGCTGCATGATGGGCTGCTGGTAGGACGGGTGCAGCTGCTGGGAGAACTGGACCGGCTGGAGGGTGGTGAGGCTGCTGCCCATGTTGTTGATCATGGGGACGCTCTGAGCTTGGGTGGAAGCCAGACCTGGAGACCACAGACCCTTCGTCAGGCTGGGCAGCAGCACCCAGAGCTTGTCAAACCCCCCAGCGCCCCCCCCTTAACATGATCCCGCAGCCCTCATGCACCCCGCCCCACCATGGGATGGATTCGTCGTCATGCTAAGCCCCGAGATAACCCATTGGCTTGGTTTGGTCCTAGCAGGTTCTTTGGGGCAAAATGGGGTGACTGGCTTACTGGCCACTTGATGGCTTGTTCAATCCAGTTGGCTTAGGGTGGTTTAAGGCCCAGGGCTGTCAAACTCCAGGCCAATGGGCTGGATCCAGCCTGCAGGGGGCTTAGATCCGGCCCACGGGGCCCCTCTGGAAGCAGCAAAGGACCGGCCCCCAGTGCCTCTGCCAGCAAACATGGAGCTCAGGGGGGCTCCGTTTTCATTGGCAGGGGGCTAGCAAAACAAACACAAAACAACACAAATGTTTCCCCTTTTGCAGTGGAGCATCCAAGAAGGGACAGGAAGGAAGGAAGGGAAAGAGGAAAGGCAAAGAAAAAGAAAGGAAGAGGGGAAGAGAGCAAGGAAGGAAAAAGAAGGAAAGAGGGGAAGGAAGGAAGAAGAAAGGAGAATGAAGGGGAGAGGAAACGGAAGGAAGGAAGGAAGGAAGGAAGGAAGGAAGGAAGGAAGGAAGATTGATTATAATGAGAGTGAGGAAGGGTCTTGGGGAAGTCCTGCCTTAGCACTTGGCCAACACAGGTGCCACCAAACCGAGGAACTGAACTGGCCACGCCCACCATGGCCACACCTCCAGCCCTCCAAGGTCCAACACAACCCTGATGCGGCCCTCAATGAAATGGAGTTGACACCCCTGGTCTAGCCATTGAGCATACGGCTTTTCATAGTGTGCCATGCTTTTTATTGGTAAACTATGGTTTATAGGATTCTGTTGTGCACATGGACTTAAACTCCGGTTAAGATGAATGGTGGCTGCTTGGTGGAATGTAGGAAGCCACCCACATAGGCAAACCTATTAACCTGGAGCACAAATCTCGGTGCAGCACCTTTGGCTACTTTACTGGGTCCTTTGCATGAAGGCTGAGCTCAGTGGTCCTCTGGCCATAATATTTTCCACCCAAAAATATCATCTCGGCTGGAAGGCCTCAAGCTATGGGCAGCCCCTGCCAGTAAGGAAGGAGTGCCCAGCTGGGCAGCAGAGGGCATGGCTCCTGAAGAGGGAGCTGCCCTGCACGTCTCCAGGTGCCAGCTACTTTCACGAGGCCCACTCTCCACACTCAACGCCTCCTCACTTACCAATGACTAAGGTGGAGGCCCCCGTGTTGGTGAACGTTGGCGCAAGCGAAGGTGTGTCTCCAGGGCCAATGGCCATGACCCCCGGGAGGGAGGCCATGATGAGGTTCTGCGTTTGATGGCTCAGGGCGTGCGAGTTGGGATCCAGGCTGTGCAGCGCTGTCAGGGTACTGACGGGGGGAAGCGAACCCCCTGGAGCAGAGATCTATGGGACAGGAAAGAAGCCAGAAGGTCTAAGAACCCTTCGGAGCCCAGCACAGTAGTGCCAGAACTCTTGAAGTCAAAAGTCTCTGCCAACTGATCCTTCTCCTCTCCTGCTGGAGTCAACACCCCGCTTGGACATAAATGTGCTGGGTGATCAGAGTGTACAGGCAATATCTGCCATCTGTAGACGGCGCATACCAGGAGGGGGAAGCCCTCAAGATAGGCCCACAACGGATGGCAGAAACGGCCAGGGATCCTTCTCCTTGGCTTAGGATGCTCCTCTTGGCTTCTTGTCAAACTAAGCCCAAGAACAGGGGTCTCAAACTCAATTTACCTGGGGGCCGCTGGAGGCAGAGGCTGGGTGAGGCTGGGCCGCAAAAGGGATTTCACAGAAAACGTTGTTAAAAAAATATCCTCAAATGTCATCAACAGTTAATGATTTCTCCCATACATGAACTGTCCTGAACACATGAATGGAACATTGAACGAAGATCATGAACGGTTCCTCAGAACGTGGCTTCTCCGGCTTACTCCTTGCTGCCAGAGACTTGACAAGGCTTCCTCTCACATACCTGAGCCACGTTTGGCTTGAGAGAGGAGGCCCTTGAGATGACCCTCAGTTATGGCTTGAAGATGATCATCAGTAAGTCTGGACCTGTACTTGGACTTGTTAAAGTTCAGGGTGGAGAAGAAGCCACGACGAGGAACGGAGGGCGGGACTTCCTTCAGAGGTCCATTCCCCCTGCAGGCCGCACTAATATTATACTTTCATATCACGGTGGGGGCCACAGGATATCGTCCTGCGGGCCGCAACTGGCCCGCGGGCCGCGAGTTTGAGACCCCTGCCCAAGAATGATGTGGGAAAAGAATAATGGAAGGAAGGTCTTCTAGTCCAATCTCCTACTCAAGGTGGAGACCCGAGACCTTCTATCCTTGATAAGTTTCCATCCATTGAACAATTCAGCCAGAGTTCAGTTTTTTTATTGGTTCATACTAAATAGACAGAATCTTGCCAGACTAAACCTTTACGACAGGACTACCAGATATACCCTGGCAAAGTGGCTGTCCCAAGTCTCTCCCTTTTCAGCTCTAGTTTGGGCTGCCTCTTGTCTTCCTCCCAACTCTCTGGAGTGGGTTCCCTCCTTCCCTGAAATGGCTGCTTCCCTGCAGTCCATCATCCCAGCTTCCCCTACCATCCCCCAGGGAGCAGCGTCCCTCCCACTGGCAGGCTCCGAGAATCCAGCCAGAGCCTCTCCCTTCCGCCCCCCCCCCCCCACCAGGGTCTCGGGCACCTTTCGCTCACCAGCTTGGTGTCTGGTCCTGAGCTGGTGGAGCAGAGGCTCGGAGAGGAAGCTTGGTGCAGGATGGTCTGGGTGGTTGTGATGGAATTGTGCTGGCTGTTGTGGGAGGAATCGGTCTCACTGACGGGCTGCTGGCTGTACCTCATGCCCGGGTCCGAGAAGGAGAGACCTTGCGGCTGCTGCTGCTGCTGCTGATGGAGAGGAGAGGGCTCTGAAATGGCAACGGCAACAAGAAAGCCTCATCAAGTAGATGCCTTGGTGAGCACGGCCAGGGACAACCCCCCTGTGCCACAAACTGGGGAGATGGTTTCCATGCCACAAGCTTTTGCCCCCAGGATGACTCTTGGTTAGGCTGCCTGATCTGTGTCCTCTTGCTCAGCTTGGGGCAAACAGCAGGATTTGGAGCATGGCAGGGATGGGATTCTGCTGGTTCAGACCGGTTCAGGCGAACCGATCGTTCTGGTGACCATTTGGCTCCGCCCACCTGCCCCTGCCCTTTTCCTGTGCCTTATTTCCTTGTTTTTGAGCACAGCTGATTCGCACAGCAGAGCATCAGCTGTTTTACTCACCGGGGCTGCAACAGGAGGAAAAAAATATTATAGCTAAAAATTGTCTTTTATAAATGCTGCGCGTGCACGCAAAGCACACGCTCACCGAACCAGTTGTTACACCGGTTCAGTCGCACCACTGGAGCAGGTGCTTCAGTTCCCTGAGGACAGCAGACCCCAACTTTTCTGGCTCCACAGACTGGTGGGGGAGGGGGTGGTTTCAGGTGCGCAACCAAATCCTGTGCATGCGCAAACGGAGCTTTGCACACTTGCCTGCAGTTTGCGCGGACCAGTTCCCAACAGGCCACGGACCGGTAGTGGGCCATGGACTAGGAGTTGGGGACCCCCGCTTTAGGAGACCTTAACCTCCTCCTGCCCTCCCTTTCTCCAGAGCTTGGCAGAACTCGAGGCTACAAAGCAGCAACTTGAGTCAGCAAAGCTCTTCCATCTTCCCATTTCGCTTAGAAACAGAACTCTACACGTGAATATACAGGCAGCCCTCAGCTTACAGCGGAAAGTTACACCAGCATTGAAAAAAGTGGCTTACTCTCATTTATAACCATCCTGGCATCCCATGGGTCACATGGCTGATAAAAATTCAGCGCTTATATTGATCAATGCTCAAATAGGGGGACAATATAGTGCATTATTTTAGGTTGCTTTTTTTTGGTCTTGTTTAGTTTTTGCTTTGTTGTTATTTTCTTTTTTGTTGTTGAAGTTTGTGTTTTAACTTTGGAAATAAAATTAAAAATTGATCAAAAATCTTTCAGACACTTAGAAACCAGCATGTAGTATTTCGGACAGTTTTAGTGTCCCGGGGTCAGGAGGGAGCAGCTGAAACAGCAAGGGCGACTCGGGAGTAAGGCTGGAAGGTGATGGCCCCTCCCATAAGGGATAAAAACCAGCCCTCAGGGAAGTGTTCTTTGCAGGAAGCAAAGAAGTTCTTTAGACTCTGAGTCCTCGTTGAAGCCCTGCGAACTCCAGTTTATTTTTGAAACTTCTGTCAGATGATATTTATCAGTAATCAGACTTCTGTTCTTGGCAGCCTTTCACAACCTTCAAAGGGCTTGCTTTTATCTCAGACAATTAGGTTTAAATGACTCTTGGCTGGGAATGCACAGACTTCCCAGTGCCACATTTAAAAAAAAGGTTTGATTTTATACACAGTTTGTGTTTGTTTAATTTGAACAAGGCTTGGGTCAGAACACAGTTTCCTACAAGCACAGCCAATGGGGGAAGCCGGATTTGCTTAACGACCTCAAGATTCATTTAATCATTAAACTGATTTAAATGGGGGTGGGGGGTGTTTTTTCCTAGCCAACCATGGCAAACAGAAGACTGCAGAGTCAGGCATGATTCATTTAACAACCACTTTACTTAACCATGGGAATTTTGGTCCCAGTTGTGGTCATAAGGCAAAGGCTTCACAGTGATATAGATACATACCCACATACGTATGTATACACACTTCTTAGTAACAGAATAACAGAATTGGAAGGGATCTTAGAGATCTTCTAGTCCAACCCTGTTCAGGCATTCCAGACAACCCTCTGTACCATTCCAGATAAGTGGCTGTCTTTTCTTAAAAATCTCCAGTGCTGGCGAGCATTCACAACTTCTTGAGGCAAGGAGTTCCACTGATTAATTGTTCTGTCAGGAAATTTCTCCTTATTTCTAGGTTGGATCTCTCCTTGGTTAGTTTCCATCCGTTGCTTCTTGTCCTGCCCTCAGGTACTTTGGAGAATAGCTTGACCCCCTCTTCTTCTTAAATAGTCCCTTAAATAGTAGAACGCTACCATCACATCACCCCCCCCCCATCCTTCTCTTGATTAAACTAGACGTGGCCATTTTCTGCAACCGTTCTTCCTATGTTCTCCATATGTCCCCGGGGGTCTTCCTCTCCCCTGCCACCCTCCGCCTGGCACTCACCATGGACTTTGCCTGGGGACAGAGGAGTTGCTGGTTGGAGAGAGGAGGAGCCATGAGAGGCCAAGGTCGGCACGGAGCTGGACTGGGAGCCGTTGTAGCTGTCCATAGCAAGCTTGTGCCGGAAGGCTTCCTCTTTACGGCGGTTGGCGAACCAGTTGTAAACCCTCACCTCGGTCACCAGGTTGGAGCCCAGCCCCTGGGCCTGGGATGGAGAGACGCCACGCTGAAGGCACTCTGCCCTGCCGAGGAAGGGGATGGTTGAGTCAGGTCTGGGGCAATCACAGGGCCTCCCCAACCAGATACATTCCCAATATGGCACAACACAATTCCTGGAAATTCTCAGCAACCAACTTCTCAACCTTGGTCACTTATAGATCGTGGTCATGGAATTCTGAGAGTTGAAGTCCACACATCTTCAAGTGGCCAAGATTGAGAAATGATGATGAAGTTTAGGAAAACCCGGGTGACCTCCAAGAATATGTGGCGGTTTCCTATGGGGAAGGAGAGTTGATAACTGGGTTTGTATCTCATGCAATCCTGGTGTACTCAAAGCAGATGATCACAGTTCACAACACACTAAGCACACCCAAGGCTATGACAATTGGCTTCCTTCAACAGAGTTTCCCCACTTCTGCCAAACCATAAATTACAAGTCATCAGCTGCCATTACTGGATTTACATAGCACATTAAACCAAACCCAGCAGACTATTTTATGGCTCGTTTGATAAGTGAACCAGGTTCAAGAGATATGGTGCATCACTTTGGCAAACTATTCAAACCAGTCCTCAGAAAAAAATATATACATCATGGTGACCACCATCCCGAACGATGGCTCATTCAGCCCAACATGCAATTGCAGAGCTGGCGCTGATAAACCTCAAAATCCTTAGGTAGGAGCCCAGCATGTTTCACAAGATTCAGGTTTTTGGAACAGACAAAACTGTCATTGAAATGCTTCTCCAGAGTTAGGAAGAGAGCCGGTTTGGTCTAGTCGTTAAGGCACCAGACTAGAAAGCAGGAGATGGTGAATTCAAATCCTTCTTTAGCCATGAAAGCTGGCTGGGTGACTTTGGCCATTCACCAGGCAACTGGGAGTTCTAGTCTGGGCGACTTTGGGCCAGTCCCTCTCTCTCAGTCCAATCCACTTCAGGGGGTTGTTCTTATGGGGAAAATAGGAAGAGGAAGGTGTGTTGGATATGTTGGCCACCTTGAGTTATTTGTAAAAATAATAAAAGCAGGATCTAAACAAGCAAATAAAAATAGACGAGTTTGAAGATTTTTGTCATGAATAGCCTCCTGGGAAGCTCTCAGTTATTTATTCTGCACTGTGCTAATTGTAATCAAAAATGTGATTGTGCTGAATCCCTTGGAGTTCCTCCCCTCCCTCTTTGTTTGCATCAAGCACAGATTAATGGCGAGGTGTTTAAGGTTAATTTGGAACAAGACAGAGATGGGAAGGTGAAGGAGCTTTTCACGGAGGGAAACGGAGGGAATCTCAGCCCTCCCTCCCAACAGGTGTCTGGAGGCGACCGGATCTGGCGTAGGAGAAGGAATTCACCTCCCCTCTTGTGGGGCCGGATCAAGGGGCCATTGGCCTGGTGGCCTGTGGGAGGCTCTGAGAGGATGGACTTTGGAATACTTGAAACATGGTTTTGTAATACTGTGGCAGCAGGTCCTTGACAGGGGTTTTCTTGTATTTTACATTTGCTTCTTCACTTGCGTTGTTAATAATTTCCCATAAAACTTAACCTTCAAGGAAATTCCTCTCTTTCAGAAACCAGGACTGTCAGGAAAGTATTCAACACCTTGTAGGTAACAGTTTCCTTTTTAGCTGTTCTCAAACCTCCGCGATCAAAGAAAATAGTCAGACCTCGAGAAGCACTGAGAATGTATCTTACCCAAACTCATTTGAATTATTTTTTGTTTGCAAGTGGTTCTTTTGCCTTCACTGAGAACCCAATGCCCTTTCCTACGGCTATGCTGTAATTCTTGTGATGTAACTGAACAGATGCCTGTTTCTAAACCAATCCACTTTTGCTTTGAAGTTCTTTGTTGTTCTAACTATAAAAGTAAATGTAATCCATTCTCATAGAGAGACCCAGACTTTATCAGAGGACTCTAATAAATTGCTTTTGAATGACCTTCCGACTTTGCTGCTTATTGGAAAAGGAAAACTGAGGCAGAACTAGGGCCAGAGTTGGCCATCAGCTCCCAAGAGGGACCCCAAGGTCGTCTTCTCCCAAGAGGCCCATGCTGGGACGAACGCAAGGCAGTGTCCGTCTCCCCGGTACCTGTTGCATTCCTCCACCAGAGCTTCCCTCTCCTCCTTGCTCGGGTTCTTCTGCCTCTCGTAGGCTTGGAAGAGGATCTGCTGTGACGCCGGGCCCCACTTGAACCGGTTCCTCCGGCCCTTCTTGACCGGGATCTCCTCCCCCATCGGGTCCTCCACCAGGAGGCCCTGGCCGGCGTGGGTGAATTCTGGAAGGGCAAAAAGAGAGTTGGGCTCCTCAGAGACCCTGGGAAGGACTGGAAAGCAAAGGGTCACTGAGCTCTGGAGAAAAGAGGCCAGTTTTCTTGGGCTGGAGAGTTGAGGTCTTGGTGGCTTCTCTTTTCAACCCCCTCCAAGACCAAAGGCTATCGATGGCTGGGAGTAATTGATTCATTATCATATATTTATTAAGCACATTTCTATAGCTGCCCAAGTCAACTGAGAGACTCCAGTGTACAACATTAAAAATTCACAATTAAAAATTCACAATTTCACCCCACCCCAGTAATACATTGGGAATCATGGGAGCTGATGGAGCCCCGATTTAGATCCCGCCTCTAAAGTCCGTCATCTTGCAGGGTCTGAGCGATGCTTAGCAATTTTACGTATGTGACAGAGAGGGCACAGTCAATGACATGTATAGGTACAATTAAATTAAATCAAGTGAAACCTAATTGTGGTGGGTTTGCTTCTCATCATCTTTTGGGGGCTACAGACTTCCGGAGTGACATTTGCAGATCCCCGCCTCTCAAAAAGTTGGCAAGGATCAGGATTTCAGATCCAGAGGATGACATGTTACTGCATTTCCACAGGAAACATTTTCTGCCCGGCTTGCAACCCAAGAGGGACAAAAATAATACACTCCCTGCCCTTTGGCAGGTGTGGCTAACATCTGGCCATTTCCTGATGAAAACCATCAATGAGAAATGAAGTCAAAAGAGCCGTCGAGCCTCAGAACTGGCTAAGAGCCTCTCGTGAACTGAAGAAGTAGCCTTTCCCAGGGCCCCCACCGTCCCTCCGCCTCACCCTCTGCCCACAGCAGCCCTCAGCCCCAGAAGGAGGAAGACCTGCCCAGATCTCAGGGGGGGCCCTGCCTAGGTTTCCCCCCTCCGCCCTGGGAAACCTTCCCCAGAGGAGCAACGCCTCCAACCTGGGCGTCTTGGAGCAGAGAGACCTCCCAGAATCCGAGCCAGCCCCGCTGGTTGACCCACAGGGGTCTTGGGAAGGGGACACGCCGCCGGTTGCTGTACTTACGCTGGGCCACCTCTCGCTGCTTGCGAACGTACCAGGTGTACAGGGCAGCTCTCTTCTGAGTCTTCATGGGGGTGCCCTTGTTGAGGTGCTGGGAGAGGTGGGACTGGTTCAAGCCCGTTGTGTCCACCACTTCCCGTTGAGGGATGTTGTGCTGCTGGAGGTAGGACTTCACCATCTTTGCCACCCTCCAGGGATCCTCCCTGGAAGAGACGGAAAGTGGGGCTGTCTCAGAGAGGGGTCCTTGCCCGCCTCCGAATCTTGAGATACAACTGATTCATTTCAGAAAATGGATAGGGCCACACAACTCCCCCTTGGTGACTCTGAGCAGCTTTCAAGGATAAACAATCCAGAATTGCTGGGTTCACGCAACCTGTTGCCTCCAAATGAGTAAAAGTCTTAGAGGTAAAAATTCGGTTCTCTGATTCCTGAAACATGTGAAGATGCCAGCTGTGTGCCCAGTGCCCACAACTCCATTTTAGGCCAAGTGATATTAAATGAGACCATACTAGGAAGCCAGCATCATGCATGCTAAAACTAGTCTGAAGATAGTCTGAAGCCCCCTCCTTCCGTCCTCCCTCTCAGTATCTTCAAGAGAACCAAGGAGGATCTTGTCTGAGATGCTGCCTGGCCCAGACTCAGATTTCTTCTCTCTCTGACCATTGTCTTGCTGACAACTCTTCTTCCTGTTCCACAAGGACTGGAGTCTCCAAGCTTGGCAACTTTAAGGCTCGTGGACTCCAACTGGCCATGCTTGCCCAGGAATTCTGGGAGCTGAAGTCCGTAGGTCATAAGGTTGCTCTCGTTGCCCAACCTTGGCTAGCAGTCAAGGATGCAGCTAGGAGAGGTGAGTTCTAGTCCTGGCTTAGCCAGCTGGGTGACTCTGTCCCAGAGCGCCTCTCTTAGCCCATGACCTCAGGCTCAGATGGAAGCCAGTCAATCCACTTCCTAACTCAACCAATTGATCAGCACTTGGTTGATCAAAAGCAAAACAAACAAACAAGAAAGGAAAACCCAGCACTTGTGGGAAATACACGAAGAAGAAAACAACAACTTTAGACAAAATTTATCAAATAAAGGGAGCGCAAGAGAACTTCTCAGGACTAAGATGCTGACCCTTGAGGGGAAAAAGCGGCTCAGGAACCCACCCAAGATGCCCAGGGAGCTTTTGACCAAAGGGACAAGGGAGACGGGTGTCAATCCCAACAAGGAAGCCTGTCAGACAGCAGCTAATGCAGGAAGTGGGAGCCCCTGAAGGAACGGAGCTCACAAGGGAAGCCAAAAGTAATAAAAGCCCCTTTTGGCTCTAGGGGTGGTCAAACCAGGGGGAGGGAGGGGTGGGCAGCTGCTAAGAGGTGGAAGGCCAGGTGGGGAGGGGTCCAATTCCTACTTGGCTTCTGGCTTCTCCTATGGGGGGAGTTGCATTCAAAGGGCTCTAAGTAGGAGGGGAGACAAAAGGAGGGAGTGGTAAAACAAAAAACCAGAAGAACATAATGGGACCTTGGAGATCTTCTAGTCCAACCCTCTGCACAAGCAAGAGACTCTATACATTCAGGACAAATGGTTGCCCGGTCTCTTAAAAACCTCCATTGGTGAAGCAGCCACAAGTTCTGGAGGTAAGCCATTCTACTCATTAATTGTTCTGACTGTCAGGAAATTTCTCCTTAGTTTTAAGTTGCTTTTCTCCTTGATTAATTTCTATCCGTTGCCTTTTGATCAAGTACTTTGGAGAATAGATTGACTTCCCTCTTCTTGTGGTAACCCCTCAAGTATGGGGACACTGCTATTATGTCACCCCAGGCCTCTTTTCGCTAGAATAGACATTCTTAAACCTGTTCTTCCTATCATATTTTAGCCTCCGGTCCACTAATCATCTTTTCTGCTCTTCTCTGTACTCTTTCTAGAATCTCAATGTCTTTTTTTATATCGTGGCAATCAAAACTGGATGCAACAATTCAAGTGTGGACTTATCAAGGCATTACAAAGTGGTACTGACACTTCACCTGATTTTGAAAGAAAGGGGAGCAAAGCAAGGTTGAGGGGTCCTGACTGCTGCAAGTGGGTTTAGGGCTCCAAAATCAGGTCAGTTCCATCCAAGAGGCACAAGGGGACCTGTGGATGTTGTCTTGGAGGACTTTTCGGTGCATCTGAGGAACCACGGAAGGTAGAATGTCAGAGGTTCAGAGAAGGACTGCCTCATTTTCAAAAAAAGGGGGTGGGTATAAGAAAGGAGAGAAAAACGCCATCCAGCTTGATGTTATTCCTGGGGAAAACACCCCAGAACAGATGACCAAGCGATTGGTTTGAGCCAGGAGTAAAGCAGGGAGGGGCAGGAATCCTTTCTAGGCTGTCTACTACTCAAAATATTTATAAGAGACTTGGAGGAAAAATTAGAAAATATGGTTGCCGCATCCGCAAACAACACAACAAAGAGGTGGAAAAATTGAAGTGTTTAGATCAGCATTAATCAACCTCAGTAACTCTAAAATGGGCGGACTTCAACTCCCAGAATCCCCCCAGCCAGCAAAGATGAAGTCTACCCATTGTAGAGTTGGTAAGGTTGAGAAACGCTGGTTTAGATGACAATATCAAGATTCAAGAGGATTTTGGATTTTGACAAAGACACTCATCTCCCCAGTAGCAATTAAAAGGCCCTCAACATTTTCTTATGTACTAGAAAATATTGGCAGGTATAAAGATATTTTGAATGAGATGGGGGAACTCAAAAATAAACAAGAATTGAGCGATCAAGGAATTGATATGACACAGTATTCACAAGTGCAGATACGTTCTAGATATGAGAAAGATGCAAAACTATAGGTTTTTTTTAAAAAAAGAACTAACAGAACTAGACAAGATACAAATAGGGGCAGAAGAAAAATTGATTTAAAAAATGTACAGCTACTTATCATACATTAAACTGGAAGATGAACAAAAAAAATGGTTATACAATTGAATTAGATAAATGGCAAAAATTGTGGGACAGGATCTATAAATTAACAATGTCAACTGCACATATATTTTTTTTGTATGTTTTATAGGTGGCATTTTGCACCAGTGCAGTTGGCAAAGATGTTTAAAGATAAGTTGGCTAAATGATGGAAGTGCCACAGATAACTGGGTCATTTTATCATATGTGGTGGACTTGCCCAAAAGCAAAAAAAACTGGACAAAATGATAAAATAACATATTGATTTAAAGCCAGAAATATCTCTATTGGGGATTCTACCCAAAAAATGTAAGTAAGGAAAATGCATATTTCATTATTCATATATTAACTGCTGCTAGAATTGTGTTTGCACAAAGCTGGAAGAACGAAGAGATACCTACCAACGAGAATATGATTAGGAAAATATTAGAATGTGCAGAAATGAACAGACTAACGCTTGCAATTAAGGAAAAAGAGCAAACCGAATATTATATGACATGGGATTTATTTTATCAATGGTTAAACAATAAAAATGGAAATTAGAAAGAGGGAAACAAGGAAACAAAATAAAGAAGATATGTTAAAAGAGATAAGCAAATATTGTGATTAGCATGTTGATTATTACTATTTTAATACTGTAGAATTAATATGTGGAACATTAGTATTTTAATATTGTAGAATTAATATCAATGTAATGAATGATGTTGCAAATTACGATTACTGTTCAACAAAGATACTTGTACCCAGACAACACACTGCAACTGAAGATGGAAGTATATTAAAAATAAAAAAAATAACAAAATTTTTTTTTCTTATGTATGATTTACGCTGAAGATGGATGGCATTTAATTTTGTTGTACAAGGTGCAGTGACAGTAAAGTCTCTAAGGCATCACATGTGGGGAATTTATAATCTTTTTATATTGTTTTGTGTTTATCCTGGCACAGAGCTGTACAACCTGTTTTAAAAGAATTAGATGCACGAAGATGGGTGAGGGTGGGGACTGGGGGGAAAAAGAAAGCCACAACAGAGGCAAGAAACATAAACATGGAAGAATCGGGGAAATGGTTAAATTGACCTCTTTGATCAGAGATAAAGGCAACTAGAACTTTCGTAAAAGATTGGATATCTCAGATGGTTGTTTTGTTGAAAATGGAAAAAATAAATTGGCAATTTATAGATTTGTTGTTTAAAATGACATGAGCCATGTCGTAACTTTAAAGAGATAAGAGATGTTTGTAAAGAATATTGGAAGTCTTTTTTCTTTCCTTTCCTTCACTGTTTTTTCCTACTTACTCTTTTATCTTTTTTCTTAATTTTACACTATATAATTTCTGGTTTATATGAATATATACATTTGCATACAGAAGATAGAATTCTTTATTGGCCAAGTGTGATTGGACACAAAAGGAATTTGTCTTGGTGCATATGCTCTCGGTGCATATACTCTCATATATACATATACTGTACACATACCTATGAGAAATAAAGAGATAAGTGAATTTAAGGTGGCCACAATAGCTTATTTTATTCTGGGAAAAATGTCTAATATTTCATTGCCCCATAATGCAATTGAAGAAAATTGGAAATAAATTTGAGTGAAAGAAAGGGAACACATAAAATATGCCCATCTGTCCCCCAGAATCATCTCGGTTATTTTGGTAGAACCAGAAATGTGGGATTTTTTTGGGTGGGGGGAGGTGTAACCATTTCCTGGAGCAACCACTTCCTCTCTAATGCCTCGAAGGGAGGCCGAAAGGAGCGCTCAGACCATGTCCTGCCTGGGCCTTCTGGTGTGGGGCAGAGATGGGGAGCCAAGGTGGTCCTTAGAAAAGTATGAAGAAACCCAGATATTCAGAAGGTCACCTTCATGGGGGAATCTAGGTCCAGGTTTCTTCCTACTCCCCAGGGGCAGGAGGAGCAGGCTTTGGGGGCCGCTCTCTGCAGGAGGGCTTCTGGGCACGGGACAGCTGAGGACGGGTCCCTGGCCCCCTCCTGCCCATGGGCTTCCTGGCCTCCTGCTTTCCCAGATGGGGATCCCTCCTGGGGTTCAAGTTCCTCTCTTGCCCAGTCCTGAGGTTATTCCTGAAGGGCTTCCTCACCTCCCTTTTGTTACCTGAACAATAAGTAACCCAGGTAGTTAGTTATCAACTCAAAGGGAACAAGAGCCTGGTTGATAATTTATAGCAGCATCTCAAATTTAAATGGAAAGTAAATATCAAGTTGTTCGCATTAAAAGAAAGCCCAATCCTCAGAACAGGGAATTCAACTTTCAGGGTGGGGGACGACTCCATGTTCCTCCCATCAACACCGGTCCTGCCGAAACCTCCTTCTCTCCTTTCCATTCTCCTCCACGTCCAGATGTCCCCCCTGTCCGGCCTCCCTCGGTGCTGAGCCAAGCCAGTCTGGGGCGGCCCCAGTTTAGCCCAGGTCAACCGGGACCTTGGATTCCCGGAGACTCCTTGCCGAGGACCAAGCGGGATGCCAGATCGCCACGCATGCCAAGGATGCGGCCATCCCTGCTGTCCTTTGACCTGGGACCGTACCTCACCCCGGATTTTCTGGAATGCAGTTGGAGTTGGAGACGGGCAGGAAGAAAGGTAAGACTTGTGTGTGCAATGATGTGTTTTATTCTCCTTGATGGATTTGGCCCTGGCTGGCTGAGGCTGGATTCTGCGCTGTCTGAGGCAACACCAGAGGTGTTGCAATTTTCAGACAAGGGCCCCAATGTCCGCAAGGAAAATGTGAGGAAGGGTCCCGGGGCCTACTTCCCTTTCACAGAACGTGGTGCTAGTTGCCTAAATGGTTTTCCTTGTTTTTAGAATGGGATTCCATTTCCCATCCGCTCTTCCCGCTTTCCTCTCTATTTAAAAGAAATCTTGCCTGGGATTTTCCTTCAGGAAGTAGCAGCCTCCACAACGAAGGACGAGGCTCAACCCACGCTCTCGCCCCCTCCTGCCCATCAGGCCCTTTTCAAACTCTGGGAACCCTCCCAGGCGTGGCTACTGCCCCCCCCCCCCAGTTTAGCGATTTGGCGGGGGTCCCTCCTGGGTGCTCCGCGCCCCCAACACTTTGGTGTTATTGAATCTGATGGTTAAGGCAGGCAAGCTGTCAGTGGAAGTTCTGGAGGAGCGCAGATCTTGTCCAGGACTTCCACGGAAAGAACCAAACTCATGAGAAGGAGACGTGTTACCCCTTTGCCAGCACACCTGCACCCCTAGACCTGGGGGTGTCTATGGAGATTCGCGATCATCTTCTAGGTCATGGTTTCCCTGAGTGCTTTTCCAAAACACAAGCGGACTTTTTTTCCCCCTTGAAAGAGTTTCAGTTCTCATCCAAAAATCTAGATGAGAATCGAAGAAGCTTCTTGGATGAGGAGCGAAGCGTTTTCAAGGAAGTGAACCCCAAGAGAGTCCAGCTTCCTTTTGGAAAAACACCTTTGGGATTCTCATCCAGGACTGGCTTTCAGCTGGCTCTCTCGGGGAGGGGCTGAAAGAGTTTCTGTTTGGCTGTGCAAGGGCCAGCTCACCTTCTGCGCCTTTGCAGTCATCAGTATTTTTCCTAAGGCCAAAGTCCGAAGTGCTTCCACAAGCTGGATAAATTAACAGGAGTCCATGTTTACTCTTTCCTCTCTTACAAGATAAAGAGCACAATGTGTTCCCAGAAGGCAGTAAAAAGGCCTGGATGTGGTCCAGAAACGGCCCTGGAAGGCAGATCTGTCATGCCACCAGAGGCAAAGGGGTGGACAGACTTTTGGGGTGCAGCTTCTGTTGGCTGCAATGGTGTCTTTCCTGCTAGGTCGGGGTGCTCTTCTTCCATCCCTCTCCATGCCAGTTAGGTCAAGGTGTACCCCCCTCCCCAAAGTGGCTGGAACCCTCTTGCTAGTCAAGGAAAGTGAACAGAATTAGGGCTTGTCTTGGTTCCTGGGTAGAAAAGCACCAGGGAACGTGGACCCTCACTTTCCAAAGAAGTGGAAAAAATCTTCCTGCAAGAAATCATTTGCAGCCATAAAAGCTACACTGAGATGGTCTGGGAAAAGGAGAGAAGCAAGGGAAACGTTCTTCTTTCAGTTCCTTTACACAGAGAACAGGCACCAAGAAAGAGTATGATTACTATGGTCAGTTGCATCAACGTGCAAATTAATGAAAACCGGTGCAACCAGCTGCCCTAAAACAAGGGTGCCCAACCTTGGCACCTTGAAGATTTGTAGACTTCAACTTTCCAGCATGCTGGCTGGGGAATTCTGGGAGATGAAGCCCAAAGTCTTCAAGTTGCCAAGGTTGGACACCCCTCCTCTGAAGATCTTTGTAAAGGGGCTCTTAAATACACATTAAAAAGCCCCCCCCTCCTTTTTAGCTCACCAGAGCCCTTATACTACATTTGCATCAGACTCCTGGTATTCCACACTTTCAATCGCCGATAAGAGAGTGGAAAAGGTCAATTTCAGCCTTGCAGTGTTGATCCGATTTTATTGTATGATGTTCTAGACATACAAATGAGTATGTTATCAATGGGGGGGGGAGGGGTTTGACTCCAGTGATTCTGTTCTCAACCAAGGACCTAAGTGCCAGCGATGCATTGCCAAGAAATAGAACCGTGTTTTGCAAAAGGACGGATGTCAAGTCTATTAATGCTTTGGGTGTTGCACCACCAGGGCCCCGTTGTTGCTGTTATCTCTAGGAGGGGTGGATGCAGAATACTGGCCAGACCAGAGCGTGAGCCAAATGCAAAATGGTGATGTGGGGTCAAAATGGCCGGATTTGGCAGGATACAGGGGGATCCACAGGGTGTAGTCAAAGAAGCAAAGATGATGGCCAGGATAGCATGATAGAAATTGTTCTTATGCTGCTGCCTATAAAACCCAGCAGAGCTTCAGGGACTCCATTGTGGCTGCCATCTTGACTTTTCTGACTGCACCCTGTGGATCTGGTGTGTTACAGATTAGAATAGAATAGAATAGAATAACAGAGTTGGAAGGGACCTTGGAGGTCTTCTAGTCCAACCCCCTGCTTAGGCAGGAAGCCCTATACCATTTCAGACAAATCTTTATCCAATCTCTTTCTTAAAAACTTCCAGTGTTGGAGCATTTACAGCTTCTGGAGGCAAGTTGTTCCACTGATTAATCAAGCAGTTAATCAGTGGAGATCCTCATCATGAGTCTTGGAGCTGGTTCCTATTGTGGGCTCCTTTGATCTTGTCCTGGAAGCCACATTCACACATTTAAAGGGTCTGCAAAAGAGACGACTGATGGGAGATGGGATAGCCGTCTTCAAATTTGTGTTATTCTCTGTTGCCCAGAGGTCTGAAACTTTGGAAAAATAGATTCAGGTTGAAAAACTATTTCCTAATACTGGGCTTCTCTCTTGATGGGGCACTGAAGAAGTATTCTGTTCACTGGAGGTTTTCAAGCCCAGTGAGGGGTTGGACTAAATTCAACCTTGGGAACTTTTAAGATTTGTCGATTTCAATTCCCAAAATTCCTCAGTTCTGAGAACTGAAGTCCACAAGTGTTATGCCTGGGGAATTCTGGGAATTGAAGTCCACAAGTCTTAAAGTTGCCAAGCTTGGGAACTCCTGGACTAAATGACCACTAATGTCCCTTCCAGCTGTAGGATCCGTTGAAAACAGATTGTTTGGTTGATGCTGAATTTTCTTAAGGGCTCTGGGGGCTGAAGAACTTAACTGAAGGGCTCCCATGACCCTCAAGTCACTAGCTCTCTATCCCTCATTTAATATTTAATTTAATATGAGGAATTACCCTGGTAATCCCGGTGATTCTTTAAACAAACCTGGATGTAGTTTATGGTTTACATGTGAATTCAGTTACAGTTTCATGTTCTTGGCTAATTACTCCCAAATCCTCTACCTGAGACTAAAACACAGGATTTGGATTGTGGGAAAACTATAAAAGATATCCCAGAGGGGAAAAAATGTGAAGAAAAAGGTGGTTTTTCTTGTAACTAAGTGACCAGATTGTTTATGATAAGGAAATGCTTTCCCTAGGGAAGAAGTAGAAGAACCACAGTCTGGCGGGGAGTTTCCCGGAAGGACAGAGGGCATCCATGCTCCCTTGAAGAGGTTGTAGGAAAAGAGTCCTCCTAGCCTCTGGTAGCCCCAAATAACGCCTTTTAAGGCTCATCGGCTTTCCAACGAGGCATATTGTGCCACCTAACAAAAAACCTTACTCTAAAATCAGGGTTCTCAGTCATGGCGTAGCTGGCTGGGGAATTCTTTGAGTTGAAGCCCGCACACTTAAGGTTGCCATGGTTGAGAAACACTGATTTAAAAGGTGTTTCCAGACACTTTCTGACCTATATTCTAGGTGGCCCATCCAGAACTTCTCGGGTGTCATAATTCTGGAGCTTCTTCCGAAAGCAAGAAAAGGAGGGAGACAGGAGGTTGCTGTGGCCTGGAGGGGGCTGTGGAGGACCTCCATGTTCTCCGCAGTTGGAGAAGATGGTCCCCAGCTTTGAAGGTGGGTCCCTGAGGTTGGCTGCTGCACTCCGTGCCCCCAAGTTACCATGGGTCTGACGTGATGATGGGAAAACCCGATGAGGTCAGTCACTGGGGTTTGTCTCATAAATCCAGAGAACCACCTGGTATGGCTTTATGATAACTCAGCTAAATCCTAGATGAACTAATTCCGTACATTTATGTGAGGTGTTTTGAATTCTGAAATAGCACCACATCAGAGGGACAATATGGTTGTCGTTGGGGCATATTCCTGCAAAACTGGCCAGAATGCTCTCCTTCAGCCCTGGGCACCCAGTTCAGGTGAACCCCCACTTAATGCTATCTATCTATCTATCTATCTATCTATCTATCTATCTATCTATC